GTAAAGAAGAAATACTCACCTACGGACCCAAACCACCGACCAAATCTAAACGCCTCTTTTCGACTAAGCCAACCGTATGTTACACGAGATTTTGGATTGTGGAGCGACTGACTCGCCGTTTCGACCGATTTCACTACAAAGATGAAAACCAGACTTTGTTCTTCATCAATTGAATTTTAAAAGATGAAATAGCTAAACTTAAAATTATGAAACTAGCAAATCGATTTATCAAGTCTAGATCTTGTTAAACTATAGCCTCTAGATAATAAATTATTTATTGTAAGTTAAGAGCGAATTGTCTAAGATTCAATATAGGACTTTCGACTATACAATTACCTATTTAATCAATTTATCATAAAAAAGTTAGAATTTCGATTTATTAAATTCAACTTCTAAATTTTCATCGTTTAAAGTTTAAGCATCTAGGTTACGCCTAACAACTATAGGTCTGATTCGTTAACAATCTATTCAAATTTTTTTTTTTTAAAAAAAAAAGAAAGTTTAATATGAAATATAAGAGCTTAATGGTATAAATAAATAAACAAAAATATGTTCAGACATGCATAAACGCAAGTTTTCATCTCGCGGAAAGGGCGAAGGTGGGTTCTCCTTTTTAAGGGTCCTTCACTGATCTTTCCATATGAAAATTCTTCTCATCATTACAAATGTTACTAGGATGAAAATTATAAAATTCTCTTACCTAAATAATGGATTTATTCAGTAAATATGTGACTACCTAAAAATTTAGACAATATTTTCAGCAGTTAGAATAATCAACAAACAAAAATTAAAAAAAAAACCCTCAGTCTCTCATCGATCTTGGTGATAAAGTGAGACCAACATGGTTCAATTCTGGATACACATAAGAATTATAATCACTGAACAGTTCTTTCTGTAAAGTGATATACGTACGTACTCTTAATAAAATAAGAAGTTACATAATTAAACTGTTAGTCTGGCCTAGATTCAGGCCTGACCTTTCCTAAATTGCAGACTATAATTGATATATTACTTACATATGTTAGAAGAATAGATTTAAAAAAAAATCTTACAACGATCAAATAGTTCATAGAAGAACTTTCGTCTGATTGGCTGATGTAAATCAATTGCCCGGGTAACTAATTTATACAGTTTAAAGTATATTTTTTTTTTTTTTTTTTTTCAGGGATTTTATCCGATATAGAAATTGATCTGTAACGCCAGCCGGCTCGAAAAATGATCGTCGTAGTGGCCTCTACTTGAAACATGTGAGATGTCACATGTTCACATATATGAGTGCCCGATCATAGTAAAAATGTAGATCAAATTTACTATGAAAATTTTAGAAAATTTTTATTCGCTCTTAAGTAAACCACATGATCCTCAAGAGATACAAAAATGTTATTCTAAGCAATATTATTTCACGAGTTTTTTTCTATCAATAACGAAAATTTGAAATAAAACTTATATGTAAACGGCAAAGAATTTGGGGCTCAAAGATTGATAACCTTTTGAAATTCCAACTACAACAAAGATATAATAAATCTTTAGAACACAGTAAATAGCCAGGGTTTTACATAGAAGTTTCGGAATTAGACCACTGTTCTGTTAAGTTTGCACTTCTTCAAACCACTTTCATAAAGATTTTATAAATAAAATCTTTAAGATCTTTTAAGATCTTATAGGTAATGAAGATCAAATATTGCCAAAAGTTAGTCTAATACTGCTATTTTTTTTTTTATATTATATATATACATTTTTTTTTTTTAGTTGAAATTAATTTTTTTTCTTTTTTTTGTAACTCTTTGGTAGCATGAAAGTATCAGATTAGGATTTATAAATATATTTGTTGTTTTATTTTTATTGAATCTAATTTTCCTTTTGCAGTTTTAGTATTATCATAAAGTTAGTATTAGACAAGCAGTTAAGAACTTGGAACTGGTTTAATAAGCATCAGTTTTTTTTTTGTTACATTATTGTTTTTCTTTTTGGTTATGATTAACTTTTTTTTGTAGATAGGTTTCAGCATCAGGCAATAGATTAGGATTTGAAATTAATCTACTAGTCTAATTGTAAGTATCAATTTCATTTTTCTCTTACATAGTGTTTTTTTTTTTTTTGATTAAAACTAAGTTTCTTTATTTGCAGATTAAGTTTTGATATAAGACTAGTACTGAATAATGAGTTGGAATTTGGAATTAGTCTATTAGTCTAATTATAAATACTAGTTTCATTTTTCTTTTATATAGTGTAATTTTTTTTAGTTAAAACTAAGTTTTTTTTATTTGTAGATTGAGTTTCAATATAAAACTAGTATTGGGTAATAAATTGGGATTTAGAACTAGTTTACTAGTCTAATTGTAAGTGTTAGTTTCATTTTTCTCTTGTATAGTGTTTTTTTTTTTGATCAAAACTAAGTTTCTTTATTTGCAAGTTGAGTTTTGATATAAGATTAGTATCAAATAATAAATTGAAATTTGGAACTAATTTACTAATTTAATTGTAATACCAGTTTCATTTTTTTTTTGTATAATGTGATTTTTTTTGGTCGAAACTAAGTTTTTTTATTTGCAAGTTGAGTTTCAACATAGAACTAGCACTAGGCAATAAATTAGAATTTGAAACTAGTCTACTAGTCTAATTGTAAATGCCAGTTTTATTTTTCTCTTGCATAGTATTTTTTTTTTGGTTAAAACTAACTTTTTTTTTATTTACATGTTGAGTTTTGATGTGAGACTAGTACTAAGCAATGGATTGGGATTTGAAACTAGTCTAATTGTGTTGTTTTTTTTGGTCGAAACTAAGTTTTTTTATTTTCAAGTTGAGTTTTGATATAAGACTAGTATCAGGCAATAAAATTAAACACAATTAGAGGCTTGGAACTTATTTAATTATAAATATTAGTTTTTTCTTGTTATTTTTTTTTTTTAGTTGAAACTAACATCTTTTTTGTAGATTAGGTTTTATATAAGGTTAGCATTGAGAATTGGATGTGCTAAAAACTTAAAACTGGTTTAATTATAAGATCTAATTTTTTTTTCTTACATTGTATCATTTTTTTTTTTAATTAAACATTATTTTTTTCTTTTTTAAGATTTGGCTTTTGCATAAGTAAAAAAAATAATAATTACTTAGCATATTTGATGTTATTATTTGTAGAAATAATCCAAAACAAACTCATACTAGGTATTTTAATACTACTCAAAGAGAAATTTGTTAAAAAAAGACAAAATGATGTATTATTTAATCAGTGTTATTATATTTATATTATAAATTAGTTATATATTAGATCATGTATAAATAAAAAAAATAATAATAATTTGAGTTTATTTTTCTTTTTTATAATAAATAAAAATATAAAATACATTTTTTGATCAAATCTTATAATTATGAGTTCTATTATAATTTTTTTTAATTTGTATAATATTACAGTTCTAATAGCTGTTAATGTGTAATAATAAAGTCTCAATTCGAAAAATATACCAAAATTTTTTTTTGGTCTTGTTTGTCAGAACACAATTCATCTCTTGTAATAAATGTTGATATAATTTCAACAATTGTTGTTCATTACAAAATCGAATTTTGAGTTTATAAAACTATTGTAAAATATAATGTATCTTTGATCAAAATTTGTATATCAGGCTCATATAAACAATCATATGATTGTTGCCTGATTAATTATTTGTATCAAATATTAGATTAAACTGATTTAAAATTGTATAATTAAACTTGTAGTAAATTTTTAATTAAAAACAATTAGTTTAAAATTACACAATTGAACTTGTATTGAATTATGATTAAAACAATTGTTTTAAAATCACAAATTGAACTTGATTGAATTTTTAATTAAAACAATTACTTTAAAATTACACAATCGATCTTGTATCAAAATTTTAATTAAAACAATTGCTTTAAAATCATACAATCAAACTTGTATCAAATTTTTGATTAAAATAATTGCTTTAAAATCATATAATCGAATAACAATTAAGTGATTGTATAAGTAAACAAATTTTAATCAAAAATATATTATTTCACAAACAGCAATAAAATACTTCTAATTAAAATGTTTTTCTTAAAATATATCTAAAACAAATTATATAAATTATATAAATTAATATTTAGTTAAATTGATTGTCTATAAATAACATGAATATTCTCTATCTGCTGTTACTAACAAATTACAAAAATATACTTGTAAAAAAAGACTTTAAATTTTTTTTTTACAAAACCTTGATTTGTTATTAAAAATGAATAATTATTATGATAATTTTACTAATGAAAATTTTGAAAAAAGCTTCAGTACTGATCAGAATAAGCCATTATTCATTCATAATTATTTGACTGCTATAAAAAAAAGACATTAGTTAGAAGAACCAGATTCTTCAGAAATACTAGAATATGATAATGATAGTGAAGATTCATTATTTGAAAATGAGTATATGGATTGCAAAGTTTTGAGTGAAGAAGAAAATCAACAATTATCTTGTATTATTATTAATAATTTAAAAGAAGAAATTCAATACTATAATTTAACAAATAATTTAAGATCAGTATTTACATTAGTTGAAACTTGGAAAATAGAAATAATGCAGAAAAAAAATTTCAATATAACTACTCTAAGCATTTGTTCTAATCATTTTAATTTTGATTAAAATAAACTTTACTTGTCTTATGCCAAACAAATGAGAGACCTTAGCCAGAATGTAATTAAAATAAAAAAATAGTTATTTTGTAATAAATATAAAAGCTTTTTTAGTAGAGATTATGATTATAAAAAACATATCACATTCAATATATCTGTACAAAATATTTTAAAAACAATAATGAACATATTCATAAACATGAAAAGAATAGGTCTCGAATATATATTAATGATGAATTGCACAAAGATAATACTAACCAAGTTTTAAAATTATTTTTTTATAGTGTTTGTTAAATCTTTCATATTCTGAAAATAAAAATCAAAAAGAAAAAGTAATGTTATATATAATGAAATTATTAGAAAATCAAAACTCAAATATGACATTCTCTACAAATACAACAATTTGTTTATCTAGTTCACTGCTTATAAAAACTACTATAAGAGTTAATATATTTGATTATTATTTACCTATCAATAAAAAATATGTAAAAGCAGATGAATACAGACAGCATGGAAAAGCATTAGGAAATTTTATATATAACTTATATAAAGATATTGAGCAATATTATAAAGTTTAGAAAATCCAAATTCATTAGATGAATATTATAACAGCTTTCTTTTAGCACTTACTAATTTTTTTGATGAATTAATTGAGTCTATTGAAAAATATAAATATGCAGTTAAAGAAAAAAAAAACTAATGTGAAAAAAAAGAATCAAAATTTAATAAAAAATTAACAAAAAAAATAACAATATTTTTTGCATTAATTATTTTAACAATTGCCTTTTATTTATGAAAATTTTGACTTAGCTTTATTATAGCTTTCTTATACAAAAGACCAAAATTAATTTTTTCTTTTCAAGAAATACTTTATTTGATATATATAATGTCCTACATGTGAAAACATGAATCAGTATTAGAAAAAGAGCATGTTAGTAAATACAATTCATTAACAAAATTAATAAAAGGACCAAATATTTGGAATGTTGCAGTAATTGATAATATTGATTTTAAGAATATTGTTTTTTAATATAGAAATATTTATAATATTACATGGCAATCTGCTCATGTTACTCTGAAACTAGTATTTTAGTTTGAACTTCTATTTAATTTGTCAAGCCTCGCTTAAGAAAATTAAGATCTGGAATCTCAAAAAAATTTATTCAGTAAATCAGAATTTACAGCTAAATAAAAAATAAAATTTGATCAAATAATAAAACAACTATTAAACAAAAATAAAAAAAACTTCAGAATTAAAAAGATTGATGCAAAAATATTTGCTAATATTGAGTCAGAATGTTGAGTAAAACTACAAATCTTGTTATATTAAAATTTGGGCCAGCATCTAACAATAATAAAGCTGTATTTGAGTCAATTAACATATTTTTAAAAGAACTTGGTCAAGATATTATTGATTTAGCATATAATACAGCTATTTTTGAAAAAACTAAATTATATAAAAATGAAAATTTAACTTGCTGATTTATTCTTGAACAGTGGCATATATTGAAAGCTATATGTAATGCTTTAATTGCTACATTTAGTGAATATGGTTTATATAGTATGGTAGCAAAACTTAGTATTAAATTTCTTAATAAGCTAGAGCAAAATGTAGATTATTATTCAACTTGCAATGTATTAGAATTAATACATACTGCTATAGGTATAGTGATTTAAACTTCATCTAGACAAAAATAATATAATACAAGACTAAATAAATAATATAGCATTAGAAAATGTTATAATAATTGAAAATAATAATATCATAAAAGTTTGGTATTTATATTACTATTTAGCTAGGTACTGGAAAGCTTATCATGCAGGAATTTATTCAGAAAATATAGATATGCAATTAAAAAATTTGGCAGCATTTTCATCTCTATTTCCTGTTACCAGAAAAAATAATTATATAATGTCAGTAACATTCTTTTTAGAATCAATATCATGCTATCTGCAGCAATATGAATTGTTTAAACATGTTGCTTTAGTAAATATTACCAAGAAGAATCACTATTTAGCTTTTAATGAAGTTTTAAAACAATATAGCATTAAGTTCATTAAACAAAATTTAACTTCTGACTTATCAGATTCAGCACTTTTAAAACAATAAATTGCAGCAATTCAAAATGAATGCAAAAGAATGCTAATGTTATATAGTGAATTTGTAAGTGATAATATAATAATTTCAAAAGATCAAGCAGTTAAACAGTATACAGAAGTTTTATAGAAACTTGTTAATGAACTTACTTGCACATTTAATTTTGCAAACCCAAGACAATATAATCTTTTCAAACATGCACAAAAAATGAACTATGATAGTTATGCATGAATGTTTGGTTTCTATAAAATTAGGCTTAATTGATTAAATAAACTTCTACAAGAAAAAATATATAAAACCAAAAAAGCAACTAAAAATAAACAAACTAAAAATTTTATTAGTATCTTAGTCAAAAAATATGAATTGGCAATAAAAATTAACAAATAAGCTATAGCTATACCTGATATATATTTTTAAGTAGCTTTTAACTATTCAAAAAAACTTAGCAACTTATCTTTTTAAAAAGGATCCAGTAATAAAACTAAAATTCATACTTTTTTTATTTTGTATTTTTTTATTTTTAAAAGAAATAAAGTGATAACTAATAACTATATATTATAAAACTTAAAGATTAACTTTTACTAGTTGTCTATTAACTATATACTTCATAATTTACATTACTACATTTCTGCTAATATATGAAAATTATATATTTAAAAATTTATATATAAACTCTACTAGTAAAATTTAAAATTTCTAAAATATTAAATAGTATAATTTGAATTCCATTTAAACTATTATTCAAACCCTTATTCAACACTATTATATATAAAATCAATTATTGTAACATCTTTTTTGACTGCTAAAGATGAAGATTAGATTAGTAATAAAAAAAGAAAATAAATGATAAATAAAAAATAATAGTCTAATACTTGCTTCTAATGATATATAGCTTGTAGTCTGAAGTTGAATCACAATAATAATAATTCAAAAATTAAATTCAGTCAGAATGGAAAAGTCTTTGAGAAAAAATAACTTTGAATCAAAATTCCAATATCTAAAATCTCAAGAACCATAATTCTAATGTAACAGTTAATATTAAAAATTATTAACTTTATTAACAATCATTCTTAAACTTTAAACTTTTAATTATTACAATGTGTAATGCAATATTATGGTCTTTCAAGATTTTAATTCAAAATCGAAAAACACTAACTGATGGATCTAAAAGAGAAGAAAAGTAAATTAATAAAAAGTAATAAGAATAAAAAAACAAAAAACCTCTTATCAGCTATACTGAATGTTTGATAAGTCCCTAAACAAGACCTTTTCTATATTTCTGCTAGTGTCAATTTTTACTATATAAAAAGATTATAATAATTTTTTTTTTTGGTATTAAGATGACCTCTTTGGTCTTTTGATTTTTATTAATTACTTGTTGGTATTGTGGTTCAATAAACCACTACAGAAGAGTGTACAATTGGCTACATGTATAAACTTTTCTATATTACCTATTTAAGGAGTTTGCTCAAAGATTTTTACTAATTATTGTATCTAACATTCCTGCTTGGATGTTTTACTTTAAACCCTCTAAACCAGTAACCTGTTTTAATTTACTGAGTCATACTCAGATGTCCAAATCATCATTTCAACCTTAGAACTAATTTATCCTTAAGGTAAACCCCCTAGAGCCTTCTTTACCCATTTTTACAGCTAATCTAGATATTGCTATAGCAGAACTAATACTTGCAGTCAGGACTAACTATTAAACTGCTATGCCCTTGTAAAGTTTACTTAAACTCTAGCATCTACTTCACAGCATAATCCCAGTATTTTAGTATACCTCTTCCTTTTCTCCTGCCTTTTTACCAAACTCCCAATTCAGATAGCTCATATAGGACTATAGTCAGTCCATCAGTATATTGAATTAGCCTAATATCCTTTTCCTCTGGTTCATTCTGATAGCCTGGTTGGTGGTACTTCTGAGACTTCCAACTCAAAGGTTTTTGTCTGTTCAGCTACTATGACTGGGTACTAGACCTTGGTATCCATTTCCCTAGGCTAGCCTTTACAGTAGAGCCATTAAAGATCCAGTAACCTTTCTATTTGGATCTTTTCAAATGAACTTCTTGTTATCCAATTTCAACAGATTTATATGGTCACAAGGACTTATCTAATGTTTGCACTGCCCGATTTGTCAGTTTGCATTCCTCTATGTAACTTCAACATTACACAGATGCCCCATAATCTGCCAGTTATGCTAGTGTGACCACTATTACAGATATTCTAACCCAATTATTAGTAATAGTTGCTATAATATGAATATTATATAGGTGATTATCCAAATTTTTGTTGTTGATAGTATTTGAACATCCAATCTACTACTTGGGAGTTGACAATCTGACTACTTCATAGGTCACCACACCCCTAATTATAATGATTACTAATTACTATTTTTTTATATAGTATATAATTTATTTGTGATTAAAAAAAAATCCTGTTCAAAAACTTATTAAATACCCAGTAATGAACAATAGTCTAATGTCTTGCAATAAACTAATGAAATTCTCAATACTTTACTCAAAATTAAGGTTCAAAGAAAAAATACAAGCTGAAAAAGAATATAATCTGAAATTAATAAATATATAAATGAAAATCAAAATAAAAAGAACTTAAAGAATTCAAAAAGGTAAAATAAAAAAAACACTTATCTGAATTTAAACATTCAAATTCAAGAGATCTTAAAAGCAGAATAGAATGGTTGAAGACTTAACCAATAACAAAATAAAACAACTCAATACTAACAAATAGCCCTAGTTCAATATAAGAGAAAACATATAATCTTTAAAATTAAAATGACAAGAAATAAAAGAAATGAGATAGCAAAAAATAAAAGAAGTAAAAGAGTTATAAAACAAGTTAATACAATACAAAACAATGAAATAAAGAAGGCAAAAGATTTAGAAAAATGT